GATGTTCATCACCTCTCTCACCGCGGAGTCGATAACAATCCTGAGCGCAGAGTTGAGTATCGTGCCCGAAACTATATAACCAATAAACAGGTGCTGCACCGTATGTTTTGCCATGAGATGGCGGTAGCTAACTGGACCACATGGATGTTTTCTTTCAGGCATTATTAAAGGTGGCACACTCTCAGGTGACTTCGTATCAAAGCCGCGATACACATCCTCTTACGAATTGAGTGTAATTCGGATGGGCCGAATTGTGATAGGCAGTCCATATTGTGAAGCAAAGATGAGTTTCGGACAACCACTTGGCACCCAAAAGATGGCCGAGTGATAGAGAGCGACTCCGACGATGAATGCGAGGAATGGCAGGAGAGGACGGTCAACAGAATCCACTCCTGACGTGGGAGTGATCGAGGCAGAAGACAAAGATAAAGGACCTGAAACTGAGAAGAGTCTAGTGAGAACTCTGAGGACGAGGAAGCAGAGAGTCGAAGCGAAGAGAAGATGACATTGAGCGACGACGCAGAAGGTATAGTCATTCATTAGTTGTCGATTAAATATCAAAACCAACAAACAATGATATAATACATATAATTTGGCTCTACCATACAGCCTTTCAAGTGCCTGCAGAATGAGAAAATTGCTGCACTTAAGAATTGCAAGATTTCATCTTTCACTATCACATACTACCAACTAGCTAGAGTGGTGTCAAATCCTTAATAATTGGGCATTTTTTCAAATTTTGTTCAATTCAGATGAAGGTGAAGAATCGGGTATGGTTCGGAAAGAGGAAGAAGCGGACACCAGTCAGACGCCGCATAATAGCCAAGAAAACCCTGGGTGATGTCGGAGGTACAGCGAGCGGGGAGAAGAGCGGTGGTGAGGAGGTTGACCGGTGTCGCTGTGTGTCCTCGCCGGTTCGCGGCATTCAAGACATCGCAACACACCGAATCGTGTGATCACAGTTTCTCTGCTTGAATGGCATCGAGGAGTGTCAAAGGTAGGTGGTGGCCTTGATGAAGTGACACGCATAGTCTTTTGTGATACCGTTTCTGCTTCGAATGGGCATCGAGGATGGTCCAAGGTAGTGGTGCTTTGATGAGTGAATGGCGGCGTTTCAGTTTCCGCAGTGACTGATAACTAGTAGATAGTGTATGTCGTGTGTGAATGCTTGTAATATGAAATCGCTGCAGTTTTGTTGAAATCTTTTGCTGATTCTTGCGCTTGTTTTTCTACAGAAATCTGAAGCATTGTCGGGCAAGTAGACAGACAAAGTTTTTTCCATATCTGATATTTGCAAGACACAGCTTGATGGACCTATATTTAAGAAGGTGAGAAAAGCAGTGTAGTGTTCAGAGAACGTTGGGTTAGCAGTTACCGTAGTACCTTCTAACTGTCACCTGTGTTGTTGCTGTTCACCACACGACCACAGCCAACCAACATGACGACAACTACAACCATCACCAGCACACTAACGACTCACGGCAAATTTCTTTGAAGTCAACGATAGTCAGTCTCGATTACTGATCACATCAAAAAACCCTATGTTAGTCAATTTGCTCCTCACAGGGCACAGTGTTTGAGATTACACTGGCATAGCTTGATTCACTGAATATAGTTAGCTTTAATTCACTGGACATAATTGCCAAATAATATATGCTGGTCACGATGTAATTGGTAACAGCTGTCTAATTATCTCTGTCTCGCCTTGACTTCTGAATAGATCCAGCTGGTCAAAGACCCGGCAGGCAAGCAGATGCCGGAGGAGATGAAGATCCAACCTTAGACTGCGAGTTGTGGCGGTCGCGTGTGACGCGGAAAGATCGAACTCCTACTACTGTGACGCTGTGAGCCTAGGGTAGAACAACGGCTTCCCCATCATCGTCAGAACTCAGATACGCCAGTCTTCATCGGCTAAGGGGGGGGGGGCGGGGGGGGGGACAGTTCTTACCATTGATTTTAATACGGCGCTTTTTGATTGGAAATGCATTAACCGCGGGATTGTTGTTGTTGTTTCGA